GCCCCCTGTGACTTTTTCTTGTTCCCGAAACTGAAGAGGCCCATGAAAGGACGACGCTACGCTACGATTGAGGAGATAAAGACGGCATCGAAGGAGGAGCTGAACAAGATCACAAAAAATAATTTTTTGAAGTGCTTCGAGGATTGGAAAAAACGTTGGCACAAGTGTATAATATCTGATGGGGATTACTTTGAAGGGGACAAAATAGATATTCATGAATAAATAAATAATTTTTGAAAAAACACAAAATTCGGGATACTTTTTGAACAGACCTCGTACATACTGAAAGGGCCATACTGTATGTAACTAACGTAACAAAAGTGTCTCATCTATCCGTTCTTGTCTGAATGCTTGTTTGCTGTGCGCTTGCGCGTGATGATACCGCGTAATTCGAACTAGAAAAAATGTAGAATAGTTATCAAAATGTTATTTAAAATTTGAAAACGATGAAAATGAATGTTCCCAGCTATCAAATTGTCAATTGCTTTGCATATTGCTCTCTCTAGCTAGTCATATGCCTTAAAAGCAAAGAGACATTTTTAGCAATTCTCAATCTGACAATAGGGACATGATCATCTTTTGGTCTCACATAGAATATCTGTCTAATATTGCGGACTATTTGTCAAAACACCGACGAGAATTACTTAACCAACATTGTGAACTATGTTTATTATAAGACATCGACGAAATGGTTCACAACTTGCTGAAGATGGTTTGAAGCAAACCGAAACGTACAAAGAAAATTCTTTGTATCGATATGGTAGTACATTATATGTGAGTATAGTATATTATATGAATTAATTGAAATTTTTGTTATAATTGCGCACCAATTTCCGCGTTGTACATATTAACACGCTCATTGTCTTTATTTTCTTTCAGTTGTTGCATTTTTATTTTCGAAAATCCTATATATATTTTTTTTTAAGTTTGGTACATTGGTTTTTTTCCATGGACGTCGTACTGTAAACGCCGCATACTATCAACTTTGGAACGAAACAAAACTGACATATCATCGGAAAAGATGCGAATTTCCAATATGAAACATTATTCTGCTGCAAGACAATGCCCGGCCTTGTACTGCTGCTCCAATTTAACAAAAAATTGAGAATTTATTTTGGACTATACCCTTCTTATAATCCGGATTTATCGTCCTGCGATTATCATTTGTTTGGACTACTAAAGAAGCAGATCTGTTTGGAAGACAAAGATTTGAAGATAATATTGTTGTCAAACGTTCGTGCGCGATCGACTGGTGTCATAACCACCTTTATTTTACGATAGCGAAATAAAAAACCTGCCTATCCTTTGAGAAAAATGAGTTTCTAAGTCCGGAGATTATGTAGAGAAATAACTTTGTACGTTTGTATCTTTATAGTGCTTTAATAAATTTAAAAAATAATTCCGATTTATATTTGATTCATCCTTGTATATGTTAGCGCCGAGACACTACCGTTTCGTCTAAAAGTATACTACTAATGTCACTAATGCAATAAGTAAATTCGATAAGTAGTGTCTAGTAGTATAATAGTGGTGGAGAAAATTTCATTAAAATTTCACTGGAGTTTTATTCTGAAAATAAGTATCATTGATTATCATTATATTTCAGAGAATACACGACAAAATTATAATAAAAAACAAATTTCCTTTATAAATTCGAGAACTAATTTTATGATGCTCCTATGCAATCACCCACTCGAATCTGTACCTCCATTTAGCATGCTTCTGCAATTGTATGAGAACTGCTCCTTCGAAGAATTATGAACACCTATAATGCTAATGGACGTGTAGTTGTAACATATCTGGTCAAAGATGTTGTGAAAAAGATGGAACACGTATAAAAAAAATAATTAATATTAAATATAATTGTAATGTAGAAATGATGATAACTTGTATTTAATAATACTGTAAAATATTATTTCTACTACAAATAATACTAATTGTTCTAATGATACATATGATTTTTTACTCCAATAATACTGGATATAAGTCGCATATCACCCTTGTAAACTTCTTTTCAAAAATACAGTCGGTTGATATAACAAATTCAATATGAAATTAATGTACAAATGATTTATATTTCTTGTACAACTGCAGTTAAGTAATGTTTGATCATCCAAATGATTGTATTTTTGAGAAGAAGTTCACAAAGGTGACAAGACTGTATGCTACTATTATGCGACTTCTGTATGCGACTTATATCAAGTTTCTTACGTGAATGCTTCTTAGTATCAAGGCCTTTTCCTGACATAATTCCACAACATGCGATTATTACATGCGTTCATTAAATGTATAATCAATTTGCGAGCATCTTGCGCCGTTATGACGATAACAATTTAAAATTATAATTCAACATTGAGAATGATTCGACAGAGGTCGAAATATCTGTTATATAAATTTTGATTCTTTAGGAAAGTTTGACTCACATAACATTATGAGTGGTTTATAGCCCCTTTTTTCATATTAAAAAATATTTTTTTTTAATTATAGGATGAAAAATTTCAGAATATTTCAGAATTCACTTGTATGAAAAATTCTGAGAGATGTAAACTTTCCAAATATTTCTGAGTATTTCTGAAAAATGTTCCAATTCGTATAAAAATTACGAGAAAAATTTTCCTCAGGGTAGTGATACTATTGATGTCAGTTGTGACACTATTGAATATCAGTAGTAATACTATTGCAGTAGCAGTGACACTAGTACATATTTATAGTAGTATATTTTTATACGTGGTGTCTCAGATTGCATTATAGATAATATCTGGGTGCATCCGGACGACGATTCTGAACGCAGTCCTGCTATGTATACGTTCTACTTTAATTACACAAATTTTCCTTTACAAACACAAATTCACTGCTTTAAAAATAAAAATTTACTGCTAATTAGCAATAAATTTGTATTTTTAAAGCAGTGAATTTTTATTTTTAATTCAGTCAATATTTGTATTCTTAAAGCAATTTAAGAATACAAATATTGACTTTTCTTACATTGACTTTTCTTATATTGACTGATTCTTAAAGAATTTATATTTGTAAAGCAGAAAATTTGTGTAATTAAAGCAGAACACAACGCTGTATCAAATCGGGATGACAGATATCTTAACCTCTAAAATCTTAAACTTTAAATCCGGATCTATAATAGGTATTTTAAGCCTTAAGCCGTAAAAAATTGACCAATTACAATTGAATGCGAGGAGAATAATTGATTGATGATTCGTCCATTTCTTATAATTTAAGCTTAAAAACTAATTGTAGATCTGAGCTAACACTTAACTTGATTCACGAGGCAGACCGCCGCATTTTTTTGTCAGATTCTTTCGTTTTAAGTGAATATGCATCGAATGAATATTTTTATTAAGATTTTAGAGGGGAAGGGTATTCTAAATAATTGCTATCATTTTTATTTTTATACGTACAAGTAATATTCGAGTTGGGACCTTCTGGATGTTTCCACGAGGATTGCTTCACAAGTAACCACCAAGGAGCTTGAGAAACTACTTTATTGACTTCGCTTTTTGTAGTTTGTGTTAAGAGGCCCTCAAAGACAAAAGAATCCCCAAAGTTTTCTGCTTCAGTAATATAACCAGTAGCATTTACAAATGTCATAAATTCCTTATTACTCACTTCAAATTTGTCTATATAAAAATTATCTAATACTACTTCGCGTTTTGGTCCTTCTCCATCGGCTACAAAAACTGGATTGTCTGTTCCTATGAAATATGTACCGGCATTAATTTTAACCATTTTCTTTATTTTCTCCCCTATTACGCTATTTGCATTGAATTTAATATTATTCACAATGCAATATCTTTCTCGGGAACTAAAAAGTAATTGTCGATTTAATTTGTTGCACTGACAGTTATTATCCTTCACAGCGTTTACATACAAGTAAAAATATCCGATTAGCATTTGAACTTTATAGAAGTTTAAAACAGTCATTTTAGTATAACCAAACATGACTCTGTTTTAAATCATTTCAATCACGAGACTCACAAGTCACAAGTTTTGTAATAAACTCTTTACAGCTGTATCAGAGAGAAACTTGAGAGAGGACATGACAGTCTAACCTGTAATCGTAAAATGCTGCCGCGCACTACTGCTCTCTGAAAAAGTGGATGTAAACTACATAGCAAGATCCACTTTTCTGAGGGTACATACGTCCATTTTTCAAGGCTGAAGATAATAAATCGATATTTGATTCATAATTGTGCTACATTCACAAACTGTGTTCAGAAATATTCATCTCTGCAATCTTATATGCGCATGACGTTTATTTCGCTTAAAAGTATTAACATTAAAGATATACTACATTCTTTTTTTACAAATGTGTTAACGTTTCTATTACATAAACTATATGTAGTACATAAACTATATGTACTAATATAGTATATATGTACATATAAAAGTTGTTTTAAGAATTTTATTTTTATTAAACAAATTTTTTTATAGATTATTTACTTTATTTATTATTATTTTCTTTTATAATAACTACTACATACTAAAATTTGAAAAGCACAAAATGACAAAATTAATCTAAACTTTTTTTTTGTAAATACCATAAATATTAAAAATGCAATTATAAGTTTCATTGCGACGCAAGAATTAGGCGTTTCGTAAATAAGGGAGAATAATATATATTGTTAATAATAAAACAAATTAAAAGAAAGAGTTGATGAGCCGAGCTGGTTAATTACAAGTGTTTGTAATTATAAATCTTTGTACACAAAAATTTAAACATTGTCAAGAGTTCTAATTAAATATTTTGTTTATTTACAGAACAATATAACCACACAATTTTGCATCGCAGTGAAACTTTACATAATATATTTTGAATATTTAAAGTATACTTATACAAAAAAGTTGAGATTTTTGTAATTATCTTCCCAGAGAGCACAAACTACTAAAAGATGACGAAAGGATGTCTTTTTCAAGTTGTCTTTTCGGCAAAGCAATAAGCGATTAAAAGATATCTTTTCGTCTTATCGAAAAGACAACATAAGAAAAACATCTTTTTGTAATCTTTTCTTAGTCATCTTTCCCACAAATCGAAAAAATATATATTTTTCTAGCAAACGCAGTAAAAATGTTAATATATTAGGTGTAGTAAAAAGTCATCGCGTATTTTTAAAAGACATCTATCAGTAAAAACCGCAATTACTTTCTTACCAACAATATAAATATATCTTGATAGAGTAAAGTTTCAGCTTTAAAAATCTCTTTTTTAAATTATACGATACGACAATTTTTAATGGAGTTATGAGCAATTAAAGTCAAAATAATTCTTTTATTTAATCCGCGATAACTCAGTAATCAAAAGTCGTAGGAATATTAAAAAAAAACGATTTTGTAGGGAAAGTATCAAGCTTTCACGATATGTAATCGAAAATTTTCTCAAATTCGTTTTGGACACGTTACAAATCCACAAAGTGAGAAGAAAATTTTTCGTCTTTTTCAGCTCGTAGTTTTTGGTATGTAAAAATTATCAAACTCATATAAACTTAAAAAATGTGATAAGCTTTTAAAAGTAGAGATTTCAAGCTTTAAAACCCTTTTTTTAAATTTGAATTTCATTCATTATTGACGAAGATATTGTATATACAACTTTGAGTTAAAAAATACGCGATGACTTTTTACTACACCTAATATTATATTAAAAATTGTATATTTATATACGGCGCTAATTATTTATTTAGTATCATCAATCAACATATCTTCCAGCATCTTCCGGTCTTTTCCGTGCGGCGTGAGATGGCGAGAATAAATGTATTGTACGCGCGGAAATGGTCGGGAGGGCGGAAGAGGCGAGTCTAGGAGAGTCTCGATCCTGTTTGATTCTGCTCAGTTCTGTTCAATTCTGCTCGATTCTATTCAATCCTCGAGTCTCCTCGACTTTCGACGAAAAAATATATTAATCCAAAGTAATCCCCTTTTTTTCATATGTCATGAGACTTATACAAAAATATCATATTAATTGTTAGATAGGTAAGCATTGACTGCGTTCAGCAGAAAAAGTAGCTAACTTGTAAAATTCTTTAATATGATTTGAAATTTTTTTCAGTTGTAAAATTCTTTAATATGATTGAAAATTTTTTTCAGGTAGCAATCCATCAAAGGCAATAAACTAAAAGTGATAAATAATATTCAACGTCCAGTCTAGAGTGTCCCCTACAATACCAATATTATCAACATTATTGATTTGCAATACGCCTTGAAATTCTTTTTTCTCGAAGCTGTTAAGTTTTGCAGTGAACGTTTGGTGTTTTCATTTTTTGTGTGAAGGTAATGGGATACATTTATTATTAAGTTAATTGATGTTTACAATTTATGACATTTTAAAACAAGAAGCTTATGCGGGATTTACAATAGAAGTCGTACCGGTTATAGGGTCTCAAGTCATAGAAAATTAATCAATCACAGAATATGAGAAGAATAATTGATTATGATTCATCAATTTTCTATGACTTAGGCTCGGTTGCACTAACGTTACTTTGATTTTAAGCAAGACTTAAAACTCTCTCCGTCTCGTTTTAAAACGAAAGAAAGACAGAAACAGAGAGTTTTAAGCCTTGCTTAAAGTCGAAATAACGTTGGTGCAATCGAGTCTTAAGGCTCTACGACCATTACGATCATGGTGGAAGGGATAACATGGTGTGCGCAGTTTGGACAGTATCTCTTTCTAATAGGCTTTCTACAATAAGTCATTACCTAAGCTTTAAGTCTTAAGCTATATGAAATTGACCAATCATAAACGATTTTTCTTCTTACATTCGTCTGTGATCCGTTAATGTCTTATGATTTAAGACTTAAAACTTAAGTAATAGCTTATTGTAGAAAACCCATAAATCTCTGCCCTCTCTGTTTAATCATTCATAAGGAAGAAACTACCAACTATAAAACGCTTAACATAGGATAGCATTTATAATCCGTTTTTATTTTAAAACCATTTTAAATATAATGTTTTAAGATATTAATACAGTTCTCGGATTGAGTTGTGATATCTTAAAACTGTACTTAAGACAGTCTTAAACGCAAGAATCGATTATAAATACCGACCTGTCATAAGGTTGATACTGAATCTTTCCTTGCACAAGGAAAAAATACCGCCCCATTTCGCATTTCACAGTTGTAGCCCTTGAACCTTATAAACATTCATAGACAGAAAGAGCGAAAATTTAAAGAGAGACACTGTCCAATTACACACACCATGTTATCCCTTCCATCATAGCTACGATTTCTATTGTAGACCCTTTATAAAATTTTAAACTTTGAAAGACGTAAGAAAGTGACCAATCACAAGAAAATAAATTGATGTTTATGAATTACATGGATATAATAAGCCAACAACTCATGATTTTTTACAACACTTTGTCACAGAGTTCAATTATCTACAATCGATTTTATGTATGAAAATAATATTTATTACGTTAAAATTAAAGCAATTATATATTATGTGATAGTCCTGCACGATCATTTGTAACTTATTGTACAAAAGGTCATAACAGTTATTTTGGATGCAATAAATGTGTCGTAGAAGGAGATTATGAAAATCGAGCTTTTTTGTGAGCAAAATTGTCATTTGCGAATTTTGATGATGAATCGTTTAATCTTCGACAAAATCCTGAACATCATACTGAAGTATCAATTTTTGAAAGTATTCAATTACTAATAGTTACTACTTTTCCGCTCGATTACATACATTTGGTATGTCTCGGTCAAATGAAAAAAATGTTGAATTTATAGTTAAAAGAACCCATTCGAATTCAATGTCGATTATCCGACCAACAAATAAAAAATTTAAATAAGCGTATGCTTGCTTTAAAACAATATGTTTGTGCTGAATTTGTTAGAGTACGAAGTAGTGTTGAAGAAGTGTGGATAGATGGAAAATCACGGCATTTCGAATTTTTTTATTATATCTTGGTCTTGTTTTTTATTGCATAAATATTTTCCTTATAATTATTTAAAACATTTCATTGCATTTCATTATGCAATTCGAATTATGTAATCTCCAAGATTATTTATATAATAATGAGTATGCAAAAGAACTTTTACTTTATTTTGTTCAAAATTATGAAATTTTATATGGTAAGGATAATATGATTTACACAGTACATAATTTAATACACTTTAGTAATGAAGCTAAACAATTTGGACCATTGGATAGTTGCAGAGCTTTTCCTTTTGATAATTATTTGCATAGTTTAAAAAAATTGTTAAGAAAGTTTAAAAAGCCTTTGCCACAAATACATCGTCGAATAATAATTGAAAAGAATACAGCAAGTAAATATAAATAAGTAAAGATACAGAACAATATCTAATATTAATTTTTAATAACAATAAAAACATTCCATTTGAATGTTCTTCTTCTTGTGAGACATTGAAATTTCGTGAATTCAAATTATCTTGTTTTTCACAAGCAGATCGTTTTTGTTATTTAAAAAATAAGTTTTCATAATACATTATATTGGATTGAAAAAATGGAAATCCTTGTATTATAATATTAGATTTTCCGATTACTTCAAATTAAATATAGATAAAAATACTTTTAGTCAATATATTTTCGCGTAATTAAATGTCTGGATTATCCAAATAATATCGAGATTGTCGTTGAGAAATTATGAGCACATGGATGCGTTTTCCCATAAAAATAAGCAAAAGTTTGATAAAAAAAATGTCGCTCTGCCTCATGAACCGTGACCATTTATTGAAATTGATGACTATTCAGATTAAGAAGTTGGTCGCACCGACAAAATATTGCGATGCAAGCATACACTGTAGTAATATTATATATTATTTATTATTTATAGAAATATAATAATAATGAATTATAACAAAATATTATTATATATACAATAGCTTTAGCCACAATCGCACTTATTCAACTCCTTCGCGATTGCGTGACCGTAATAATAATAATAATAATCATAACAATAACAACAATAACTTCAACTTATAATCTCTGGAGAGTGTAGAATGTGCAAAATGTGCAGAACTGTCGCAGACAACGCTTGCTGACCATGCATGTGTGATGTGACCA